GGGTAGGGTGAGGAGTAGCTTGAGCGAGAGTGTCTTGAAGCCCAGCAGCCAAACGATGGCCACCAGTGACACTACTGCAGCAGTGGGCACTACCTGCTCACCACTCTCCCTCTCTCTCTCTCTCTTTCGCTTCCTCAGCTACCCTGACCGCTCTCGAGTATTGGGTACAAGTGCACTGTGCAGCAGAAGCATCACACAGTGTGTGGTGCTTGTGCAGACGGAGAGTTCAGCAGTGGTCGATGCGCAAGTCAATTGCAAGCTGATTCGATTGCCGCCAGCAGCAAGTGCCGGCGATTGGGCAGTGTCAGTGGTGGTCGTCGTGGTGGCTGTCGTTGTGGTGCTGGTGGCTGTTGTGAGGTGCTGCTGCTTCGGCTGCTGGTCGTGCTGTCGTCAGCAACCTGTTGAATTGAACTGAAACAAAACGTTTCGCTCAAACTCCTCAGCAATGACAGTGTGCTTTGTTGTTCCAAACGAGGACGACAACGACGGCGGGGTTTTTTAAGCAGTCACAAAGTCACCAAAGTAGCAACGATCATCAGAAGTGCATCCAACCTACAGATGAACTGATTCTCTTTCTGTGGCGGGCTACCGTTGCTACTCTGGCGATGCACTTGATCTGCATAGTGCCCCTGTCTGATATTTGTCCGTTTGTGCAAACGGCGGCGGCTCAAAGTCCAAAACGATTGTCATCGTCCAATCAGCGTCGGTGTTTGCAGATGACTTGATTAAGCTGTGTGTGCTGAACGGCAGCAACGGCACTTCCACTTTAACGGGACGAAGACAGGCATCAATCATTCCCAGCAGTAGCTCAGGCGAACGACACACCAGGACACGACTAGAAGGAAATTGATTCGTTCAATTTGTGAATGCCTGTGACGTTGATTGTCAGTAGCAGAGGGAAAAAGTGGAGAAGACGCAGCAGCAGCAGCTTTTTATTATTATCATTTGCTTCACGTATACTGATTGACATTACACTGCTGCAGCAAAGCTGCTGTACCCAGGAAATATAGCTGTGACTGTGTGAGCTGGCTTTTGCGTAGAAAAGAAAAAATAACAAAAAGTTGTACTTAGTTATACTTGCGACTAGCGGCGATCATTGCAGTTCTTCTCAGCTCTTGCAGTCTCTGAAAGCCCTTTGAGACGAGCTTCTTTATGAGAAACAGCTCCGCCGGAGTGGCGTTGTCCAGGGTGATGTCGCCNTGCAGCAAAGCTGCTGTACCCAGGAAATATAGCTGTGACTGTGTGAGCTGGCTTTTGCGTAGAAAAGAAAAAATAACAAAAAGTTGTACTTAGTTATACTTGCGACTAGCGGCGATCATTGCAGTTCTTCTCAGCTCTTGCAGTCTCTGAAAGCCCTTTGAGACGAGCTTCTTTATGAGAAACAGCTCCGCCGGAGTGGCGTTGTCCAGGGTGATGTCGCCGAGGAACATGCCACTGTTGGCGCGCGCATCATCGAACATCAGGTGCACCGACTTCTTGAGGATGGCCTCACGTCGCTCGCTCAGGTCAGAGCACTGGATGCTTCGGCCGAACTCCTGCTCCAGCAGCTTCAGCGTCTCCTTCCAATGCTCATCCGGCGGCGGCAGCAGCTTGGCTGTCTCCGCCTCCTGCTGCTCCTGAATGCGCGGCAGGGCGTGCACCCAGCTGGGCGAGACGATGCTGCACTTGTTCTGCCGGTGGAGGTTGATCGCCAGCCACATCGGCACCTTCACCGGAATGGACGGCCAGAAGGGGCCAAAGTCGCCGGTGATCAGGTTGAGCTGCTTCTCGTACTTGAAGGTGGGCACGATCTCCACGAGGTCATCTTCGGCGAGGAACTCGCAGACGTCCATAGTTTAAATTGGTGGAAAGTTGGCAGTTTATGCTGGTGAACGAGAACAGCAGCAGCAACAACAAAAATCGATCTCTCTGTCGCCCGCCAAAAGTCGTTGTTGTTTACAATCAGCAGCAGCCGCCAAAAAGGACCGTCCGTAGAGGCAATATACTGGTAACAGATAGACTGCCGAAAAGCGAAAGCCGACGATCACCACCACCGCCATCATCGTCATCATCAGATGGACAGTCCTCCGCCAAGGTTGACGGGCCAATTGAGACGATCAAATTGAACACAATCAAGGACAGCAGAGAGGAGGAGGAGAGCCACACGCAACAGAGTGTGAGAGAGAGCGGCAATTAGAATGACAAACACAGTTACACGAACATTTGGAAGCACTAGCGTGGCGCACTTTTTTATTGACGACACATAAACAGGTAAAAAAGGCATATGCACAGAAAAAATGCGGGTTGAAATCGATTTGACCTCAAGAAAACAGCTGGCGGACGTCAT